ACTGAACAAAGTTTGTATTGTACGTTGCTAGTTTAAGATCATGTACATCCACTCTCTTCCTTTCTTTGATTATTTCGTTGCTGAAGCCAGCAAGGTGATTTCGGATTTTTTCACCGTAATTATCGAAAGCAATCTTGAAATCTAACTTAATTTGCGATATAACTTCATCCACATATTGTTTGTTTGCAACATCAGCGACATCTGTTGGCAGTTTTACGTTACACATCTTCAAATGACCAACATCAATATCACCGGTTGGAGTATGTGAAAATCCAGATCTGACTGTCACCATCTGAGCTGAGCGTGGAAACGAACCACGTCCGAATTTGTCGAGACTCATTATGCTAATGACTAAAGTATTGTACGTTATCGATAATGGTCGGCACTTTGCCTCGCCAATTATTAGCCCCTTCACTCATAGACATGTCATGAAAGTGTCACGGAACTGTCAAGGAAGTGTCACGGAACTGTCACGGAAGTGTCAAGGAAGTGTCACGGAACTGTCACGGAACTGTCACTGAAGTGTCAAGGAAGTGTCACGGAACTGTCACGGAAGTTGTCATGGAAGTGTCACGGAAGTATCACAGAAATGTCACACATGTTTTATTATGCCTGCCTCTTCTAATTCGTTCAAGATGGCAACAATCTCGTTATCGTTTGATGTATTTCCGGCTTGCTGTGATGCAATGAGCAACTTCAATCTATCTACCAATTCGTTTGGATCATCCCAATACATGTATTCGATAGGTGCTGTGTTGTATGTCAACTTCAAACCACGACCACTGGAATTGGATCTGAACATTGGACGAATAATTTCTACGTATTTGAGTCTAGAGGAAGACTTCATACGTCCTGCAGAATTCAGATGAGCTTTGGTGAGCAAGAGTATTTGCTTGTATGGGTTCGTATCATCTTTGGCAAAGGATGGATCATTATAGAAGAGTAATTGATAGAGGCCTGGGGTGCCACGGAACCGAAAGCCATCAAGAAGTATATCTCCAGTTCTTCGATGGAAATTCATTTCTTTTCCGTTGAGAGACCATTTCGATGTTACTGGATCATATTTGGGACCATAAACCGTATCGATATTTTCATCATTTGTCCAGTATTCAGTCAGATATTTTTGAGCCATCGCAGGATACTGATCAACGTAATCATGTATTGCAGCCGGTGAGATATTTTCACTATCTACAAAAAGTTCATCATCAGCATCGTCATAACCATCCTCATCATCATCTTCAGTATGCCCAGCATTATCAGCCACATCCATCATAGGTATGAAATTAGTTTGGTTCAAATCCGATTGCTCCCTCTCCACCTCCCCATCCTCTTCCTCCTTCTTCTCCTTCTTCAACCCCAACGATTTTGCTCTGCTTCGCTTGATGTTTGAAAGTGTTCCATCGAGTTTTTCTTTTATTACCTTGGACGTGGTGGCAATTTGTTTCAAAGGTGATGTCAGTGGTTGGAATATTTTCTGTAACGCATCATCATCCTCAGACTTGCCCAATTTTAGTGCTAAATATTTTCTTCTGATTGATTTCGATAGTTCGTTGATTTTTTTCTTGCGCAGCGCATCAGCAACATCATCATGCATCTTGGTTGACGTCATCTTGATGAATGGTCCAGAGATCACAGTCTTATGAACTTATCGAAACCATTTCTATATCTGCCAGCATTCATATCGAAAGTTTTTGCAATCACCATCGCACCATATTGGTTGAAATTCCAACACTCTGAGCACAATGCTTTAAATTGATCAAATGACATGTCTGGTGAGACATGCTCGTCGAACACATGCTTCAAATTCATTTCATCCTGTCGAAATAACACCAACAGGTTACTGTTGTCTCGCACCAGCTGCTTCGGTATCTTAGAAAAAGTCTGGCATAGGTATGCTACGTCAATATCCTTGTGTCTACACATTGAAAAATATTCTCGAATTTTTTGCTGCTTGTCGCATGATACATCATCAAAAATGAATATCGAATTATTTTTCGCTTCTGATGGACTAATGACATCATCATTTTCTTTAAAGGGAAAATACCCAACACCTTTCACTGAATCCAACACTTGTTGCAGCAATTGATATTTCGGTTGGTACAACGACTTTGAATACACGTAAACGTTCTCGAATTTCGCGCCATTTGGATTGAACAGCAGGGAAAGCATCGCATTGGTCTTTCCACATCCGCTTGGTCCGCAGAAGATTGCTCTGAACGAATGGGGAAGCAGTTTCCCATGTTTACTATTTACTGGTGGTTTGGTTGACAAAATTTCATCCAAATCCACAATGGGTAACATCCGTTCTTGTTGAATGATCTTCATCATGTGATGATATATTTTTCATTTCATTAGGTATATGCAGAGTTGTCGAACTTCCTACACGTCAGTCTTCATGTTGCTCTACCACGGAGAGGGTGTGCTTAATTCTCTGATCGATAAACTTCCCATCGAATTACACATTCCAGGCTACAGATTTTGTGGTCCAGGTACCAAACTCGATAAAAGACTTGCAAGAGGAGACACCGGTATCAATCCGTTGGACGACGCGTGTCGAGAACACGATATCGCCTATTCACAAAATTCCTCAATAGAAGACAGGCACAAAGCTGATTGGATATTGGAAAATAGAGCGTGGGAGAGAGTCAAGTCGAAGAACGCTAAATTCAAAGAGAAAGCTGCCGCCTGGCTAGTTACTACTGGGATGAAGGTCAAACGAAAACTTGGCATGGGTCTTGTATCACAGCAATCCCTATCCAATATTATCAAATTCATAAAAAATGTACTATCAAAGTCAGATGGTGGTGGTAGTACAACATCAGGAAGTGGTCTGAATAAATCTGCATTGAAAGCACTCCATGCAGCCAGAATGGCAGTCAAGAGGGCTGGCGGTAAAAAAAGAATCAGAGTACCAAGAATCATACCTCTTCCACACAGTGGCGGTATACTACCATTGATACCAATCTTTGCCGCCTTGGGAGCCCTAGGATCTCTAGCTGGAGGAGCCGGAGCAGTCGCAAAGACAGTCATTGATGCGAAAAATGCAAAGAAAAAGCTCGAAGAAGATCAAAGACATAATAAAGCAATGGAGGCTATCGGCAAGCAGGGTTCCGGCCTATTTCTACGCAAAACATCGAGAGGATTCGGACTGTACTTGAAGAAACAATCAAAAAACTCAAAAAACTTCTAGACAAGCTACCCAATAAATCAATGTACGATAAAGATGTGATAAAGTATGCCAAACAGCTGAAAATACCGTATTTTCGAGGTGTTTTTATGCGGGACACTCTACCTTCCACCGGTCCATGGCATCGCGAGTGTGCTGTATTGAATTTGGATACCTCCAATCATGCGGGCACTCATTGGGTGGCTTACATAAAAAATGATAAAAAAGCCTTATATTTCGATAGTTATGGCAATCTGAAACCGCCCAGAGAATTGGCGCAATATTTGGGTGCCAGCACGAAAATCTTGTACAATAACAATCAATACCAAAATTTCAATCAAAGTAATTGTGGACGTCTATGTTTAGAATTCCTTTTTAATGAGACCAAGTAACTCGGTCATTGTGCATCAGTCATGTCTCTGATTGTGACGTTGAAAGGTCGTACATCTACGCTCTCCATAGACTTTTTGACACCACTTCAACTCGATCCAGACTCTGATTACGGACTAGCATTGTTGGGATTCCATTCATACAACAGTATACCGAATATCGACAAAGGATCAAAGTTTTATCTGCAAGATAAGACCAAGGCGGGAAAGATCATCGATATTCCCGAAGGTTCATACGACATTGTGGACATTGAGACATTCATACGCAAAGAATTGGGCATCTCAAGTGCAAAGGACGTTGATGATATATTCTCGTTGAAGCCCAACAATAATACACTAAAGTGTGAGATTTCGAGCAAACAGTTTGCCATTGATTTTCGCCCGAAGGATAGCATAGCTCAAGTCTTGGGATTTTCAAATAGATTGTTGAACGCACAACAAGTCCACACTTCCGATTTGCCGGTCAGCATAACCAAAGTGAGAACCATTCACATTGATAGCAACGTTACTGCTGGAGCTCTCTACAACGACAGACCATCACATACGATCTACGAGTTTGCAGTTGCAGTCGATCCTGGTTACGCCATAGACGAGACTCCCAGAAATCTAATCTATCTACCTATAGTCAGCAGGCGGGAATTGCCCAACATTACACTCCAGATTCTAGACCAAGATAACAGGCAGGTGAATTTTAGAGGTGAAGAAATCATCATAAGATTGGAATTGAAGAAACTCACAAGATGGTACTAGTGTTTGATTACTCCTTCAAATCAGATAATATACCATCATCAGCAACATCATCGGCACCAGTTCTCTCGACACCGTACACCAAAGCAGTCGTGTCTTCGAAGAGCAGCAACAGAAAAACATTGACATTATCCAGTGTCCTGTTTCTGAAATCACTCAAAGACTACAATGTTGTTAGCACCCGTGTTCGACGTTTTCCGCAAACCCAGACTCGACGAAAGCATCACTAAAGTGGAATGGCGTACCTATTATCCATATGTGAAATCATTCGAGAACAATGATGTCATCGATATAACGGTTAATCAAGCAGATTCGTGGTTGGCCATGTTTGAAGGCATCATTACCATCAAGGGTAAATTGAAGGTGACCGGTGGTGGTACTGGTACATTAACCCACAATGCTGGAGCTTATCTCTTTGATTCCTGCACCTATGAATTATGTAATAAAGAATTGGACACTGTCAGATATCCTGGAATAACGAGTACTGTGCGAGGATACTTGTGTTATACACCTGAAGACTCACGTCATCTAGCCATAGCAGGCTGGAACTATCCCAATGCTCCGATGCTCAACACCGATGGTACGTTTAGCATGAACATTCCACTGAAACATTTGTTTTCCATCTTCAATGATCATCAAGTGGCAACGTGGGGCAAGCAGTCAATCCGTTTAGTGAGAGCTCGCAATGATGCCAATAGTGTGAAGGTTGTCGAGAGAGCGAATACTGCTTTGCAAGGATCTCCTCAGACTCAGAGTATTGCTAAAATAACGATAGAAAGCATCAATTTGAAAGTGCCACATCTCACACCCAACGATGACATAAAGTTGCAGTTGTTGACACGTATCAAAGCAGATGAGTCTATGATGATACCGTTTCGCCGATGGGAATTGCACGAGCTACCAGCACTCACACAAGGATCTACCATAGAAATCTGGTCCGTAAAGACATGTTCTGCATTGGACAGTCCAAGATATGTTATAGTATTTTTCCAAACGAAAAAAGCCGATAATTTGCATGAAGACGTCACCTTGTTCGATAATGCCAACATCAAATCCATACGATTGGCTCTGAATAGCGACTATTATCCGCAAGAACGAATGCTATTGGACTTTTCCCGAGACCAATATGCCGACGCCCACTTCAACTATACAGAGTTCAACAAGAGCTACCATAACAGTCAAGAAAAGCGCTCTCTAGTAAACTTTGCCGAATTCAAATCCCGACCAATGTTTGTTATCGATTGCTCGAGGCGCCATCTAGGCATGAAGTCGTCAACAGTTGACATAAAGTTGGACATTGAAGCGACTACAGGCTTCCCTCCCGACACCAAAGCCTATTGCATCATCATTCACGATCAAATCATGGAACATCTCCCACTCAGCGAAATTGTTCGAAATATTGCCTAGGTGGGTGTTGCTGCATCAGTCAGACGTCAGTTCGCTTCGAAGAGTCATGGAGATCGCACTGGTTGACATTCAAGGGTTCATGGTTGATGGTGAATTCATTCCAAAGGAAATGACCATTCGCATTGGCAAAAAGACGAGTCATTTTCTATTCAAGCCATCTGTAGAATTTTCGAGTTTAAGCAGAGAAGATAAAAAGATGGCAAATCATGTGGAGCGTTACGTTCATGGTTTAAAATATTCCAGTGGTTATGTGGATTTGAATGAGTTGGATCAAATACTACGAGATAACCTGCAGCAGACAAACATCATCTACGTAAGAGGCCATCAAAAGATTCAGTTTTTGCAGCGAAAATGTGCAGAGTTGGAGATGACCAATCACATTGTTAATTTAGAAGATTTTGACAATTCTTGGTGGCAGCCAATAACGTTTCAACAATCCATTCCACCTTGCATGAATCATTTCCATGGAGGAAGGTTCCAGTGCAGTCTCCACAATGTCGATACTTTATATAATTGGTTATGTAATTTATTGCCAAAATAAAAAACTATATATCGTAATTTCAGAGTTTTTATTCATCACATCCCTTATTTCTCAGTATAATGAAAATAACATGTGAGATTAAAATGAGTGAACATATTAGTGTACAACAAAGTGTCAAAATTGCAATGATATTGACAGAATCTTGATCATCATCTAATTTTGCGGGTGATTTCTTCAATGTAAATGTCTGCCAGTCTCCCATTTCACCGTCACTGCCATCAGAAAACGATAATTTCAATTTGTAGTCGATGGTGGTCCCATTGACTCGAGGCATGTCGATTGAAAATACAGGTAGTTTGTTATCATTGACATACATTCTACGCATCAGCTTCCAATCACACTGTTGTGTACGATTCACATCAAAACATACGGCTGCATTCCTCGTATTGTACGGTATGTTTGTGTAAAAGACGTTGTTGCTCAGAGCTGTCAATAGAATGAAGCTTGCTTTCAGTATCGCCATCTAGTAGCTGTGTTGGTTGGATTCTTCTCGATGTAGGAAACGTTGCAACTGAACGTCTTGGTTCTGTGAACACCTTGTCCCAAACACTCAATTGCTCGAAATCTTTGAACAAACAAACTTTCTGCTCATACAATTGGATGTCTGCACTGAGCTTTCTAACTTTCAACCCAAATTCTTCTAGTGCACGTCTGTATTCGTCAGAAGACATGATACAACTGTTTTTTACATCCATACCTTCAACTAATATCCATCCAATCTCTCTCTCTCTCTCTCTCTTCTTCTCACTTTTTTACCTTCTCACTCTCTCTTACACTCACTACCCATCTCAATGATACACAGAAAATTTCAGAGATTTCGCATTTGGAGATCTTGGAAACACTTCCTATGATGAACTTAGTCGTTTTGTTCAGATGTTTTCTAAGAATTAGAGAGTGTGGCATCGCTCACCATGCGCATGCCCTAATAACACAATAACATCAGTAAGACGTCGTAGAACCATCCATATGGGATGATAGGAACAACTCTGGAAAATCCCTATTTTCCTTGGGACATTCTTGTCAGCATTTGCGATGTCTTATAAACATCCCATCAGAATGTTTGTGGGATGATACGGGATGTACCAGAGACATTCATGGTACTTGATATGGAACATCTTGAAGAAACTTTTAGGATGTTTTTTATTTGATGACAGTGATGGATGGATGACACGGTATGAATTATTTTCATTCTGAAATCCTGAGAATGACCGACCTATTTGCAGATATAAGGTAACAATTCGAATCCGAAAATATATAAGTTCGGTGCAGTGCAATAACCAATGGAAGATGATAACAGTTGTTTGAGGCTCATATTTATTTGTTGGCGATCGGCCGACGGCTGTTAGTAACTCTTAGCAACGTAGTTGTACCGCCATCTATCGGCTGGTATAACAAATAAATTCAGCAATGAATATGCTGAAGAGATATATTTAAATTTTGTCGTTTATTACATGGTTCATGAAGTTAAGCAGGTTCTTTGGTAATCTTATTGAGGAATATTTAGTATAATCATTCCAATTTGTTATCGATGAAATTAGCCGCCGGCTTTGGTATAGGAAAAAGTACGAATACAGTTTTGATTGAATTTTAGGTGTTTTTTTCCTAGGAGAACACCCTATTCAATTATCAGCCCAATGTATTCTAGTTAGGTATGATATAAATTGATTTTTCTACAAAAATTGCCACATAAACATACACCATGTTCCAATATCGAATTTCATGAAATGACAGACTATTAGTTGTGAGAAAATCAGCAAGCTGAAGAGTTTTGCTGTAGTCATAGAAAACGCGTAGTATATAACTCACACAGAATGCTCGTATGATTTAACTTATGCAGCATACTTGAGTACTTTCATTCACTCTGCACGATAAAAGACAAGTGTCCGACTACTGGCAAAGAAGAACACAACTTGTTGCTTCTTTTTGGCTTATTGATAATATGATCTATTGAGCATTTCTTTCATGCATCACATAATATGATTCTTTTGTAAAACTCAGTCCACTGTCCGACTATACTGACTGATTCACCCTATACATTGAGAGGCTTATCTTCATGTGTGCATATTATATTCAAGCATTGTTATGCATTTTATCTGCCACTGAATCCGCCGAATATTTCAAAATCTGATACTCTTACAATAGATGAACTATAGACAACAATTAACGAGTTAGTATAAAGGACATACACGGGTTCTCTTATCGTTTTTTCACGAAATCAACGAACTACCGAAATCAAACAGCTGTTCAAGTTGGAGCGTTCAAACAGGATGCCGTTATCTTGGTTGTTCTATATTTGACGTATACAGAAAATCATATTCTTTCAAAGCCTAGAAAGATGATTAAATCAGCTGAGTTATAGACTAAAATTAACGGATAATAAAGGAAATGATCCTATTATTATTGATTCTCTTATCGTTCCATATGAGATACAAGGAACTATCGAAATCACACAAAAAACAGCTGTTCAAGCTGAAACAAGAGCTGTTTTTAGTCCTAGACCTAATATTCAATATCCCACACTAAAAAATATTTCTGCTATACAGGGCGGGTCAGCAAGAAATGTCGCTACCTCGTTTTTCATTTTTGTGACTCTTAGAGTGATTATCATCGTAAAAATGTCAGTCGACCAAAGACAGTCAGCAAGTCAACCAAGTTTATGATTTCATCACACTACCTACCAGTCATTATACAGGGTTTTTAAATATATATTTTTGTATGCCAAGTTGAGTAGTCATTGTGAGTCTACTCGCCTACCAGGTGTTGAATAAAAAACGGATAATTTTGACATCATTTATTTCTTAGATATTATACCAACATTTTCAAGTTCAGTAAGAATAAAGGCGATCTCGTTGTTGTTCTTATCTGATTCCATTAAATATCTCAGTCTATCCACCAAGATATTCGGATCTGTCCATTCATCTAAAATATTGAACTCGTCATTCCCAATACTGGCTTCAGGCTCCACGCTCGACTTTGGACGTTTAGGCTTGGTCTTATTTTTGAAGAGGGGTCTGATAATTTCATCAAATTTCTCCTTATCAGCTTGTCCTCGTAATCGCCCTAATCGATCTCTATGAATAGAGCTGATTTCTAGCATCTGTTTATACATCTGGTGATCCAGAGGCGTGTAATTTCGAGGGTTCTTGGAAAATAATGATTCCAAAAGACCCAGAGTACTTTTAAAATCGACATTATCTACGCCTATGTATTGGTCCTCAAAGCGTAGATTCTTATGTCCAAGTGTCCATCTGCCGTCAACATATTTCGGTCCATAAGCATTATCATAATCTGCACAGTGATATTTATCTAATGCTTGCTCTGATGAATGTGGTTTAGACTCCATGATGTGAACGCTATGGTGTCTGATATACAACTGAAGACTCTTGAATACCTCTGAAGACATCTGAATACCTCTGAAGACTTCTGAAGACATCTGAATACATCTGAATACCTCTGAAGGCGCGATCTGAAGACTTCTGAAGACATCTGAAGACTTCTGAATACCTCTGAAGGCGTGATCTGAAGACTTCTGAAGACATCCGAATACCTCTGAATACTTCTATAGGTGTGATCTGAAGACTTCTGAATCCATTAACTGCCATCCGCTAATCAGCTAGGTTATTCGAATTGGTGGCGTCCACTCTATGGGCATTCCTCATATGGTGGTATAGGTTAGTTTTATTCAAGAATTTCCCACATTTCTCACACAATAGCTGATGTCTATTATAGGTGAATTTTCTCTTTTTAAAACTTTCCCAGGTGTAATTGATGTTAAATGGAATCCGCTCTCCACTATTGAGGCATTCTATTATAAAACAATTATCACAAAGTTCTCGTACAGTACACAGCTGATGACAGCGCTCACAAATATTAGCCATGACTACTCTATAAGAGAATATATAGTTGTTTTCGTATCCTTCCACTCCCTACATATATCATATTGCAAACACCATCTGTCATACGTCATATGTCATGTATTACGCGACATCAGATATTTTTTGAAAATCTGACAACACCTTATCGACTTCATAAATAATAATTTCCAACGTCTGGCAACAATGTGACGGTTATCGCAAATATTTCACTATAAATTTATTTCGATGTGATACTTGTGTGTCTTATCTCTAGAACGCATCTCTCGCTTTGCTCTACCTCTACAGATCCGTTGCAAAAATAACCGCGCGCCAGCGATGGATATTATTTTCGACTCGACTGAAATCTCCTGCAATGGCTTTGGTGAAATTCACTGAAGAAGAATTACAGTACATTCCAGTAGAATGTCTCATTGAATATGCAGATCCTTATGGGCTATTAAGGGTGTGGCACAAACTTCCTCAAGAATATCGCAGCAACTTTAACCTACAAATCAAACTGCCATGCTTCGTTCATTATAATCGTCCCGATTGGACCACACACTGGGATGGACCGCCATCTTCTCAAGAGGCATGTCATTTTTGTAGAAAAGGATTACTTAAATAAATAGATTATTTATCTTTGTTTTCGTATTCTTTCACCCCCATGGACCGCCCTGTATATATTTTTTTCAATCTTCATCAACTCAAACACCCTGTATATATTTCTTTCAACTCAAACACTTCTTCCATGCTAAAACATGGGACCGCGAACCGTGGGACACTCTGTATATATTTTTTTTCAATTTTCAATCAACTCAAACGCCCTGTATATGAAAATTCAATCTTGTTATTGTCATTAAAGTCACAGTTTGAGGAATGGGTATACGAGCGCGCGCTTATCATTCTAAGGGATCTCTCGCTTTACTGGAACTTCGAACGCTATGAAGGTAACGGCATGACGTCACCCACTTTAAAATAAATAAATAATCCAAGTATTCGTTTCCAATACGAGCGCGCGCTTATCATTCTAAGGGATCTCTCGCTTCACTGGATCTTCGAACGCCATGAAGCGAGACAGCGTTGCCACACACAATAATGTAACAATATTAACATCCAAACACATACGTCCGACAACGTTGCAGCACCGCGCGCTCGAGCCGCCTTACTCTCTACCTCGATAGATCCGTTGCAAAGATAAGCGCGCGCGCCAGCGATGGATATTATTTTCAACTCGAAGTTTCTTATCTCTGGAATGCATCTCTCGCTTCACTGTACCTCGATAGATCCGTTGCAAAGATAAGCGCGCGCGCGCCTGCGATGGATATTATTTTCGACTCGAAGTTTCTTATCTCTGGAATGCATCTCTCGCTTCACTCTACCTCGATGGATCCGTTGCAAAGATAAGCGCGCGCGCGCGCCAGCAATGGATATCCCGTTTGAATAGCATTTAAATAATTGAAATATCACGGAGGTCGGAATACCGCAGTGCGTATATACGCTGCCTCATAATGCAAAGGTCCCTGGTTCAATTTCCCCCACCGGCGGTGACAGCTTTTTTTAATTTATTTATTTAAAAATTCATCATGATTAAGATGTCATAACCTCACAATTTCAAATTTACCGCCATCAGCGCCGCCGCCATCTGCAAATTTGAACTTCGCGCCACCAGCGACACCAGCGACACCAGCGCCAACGCTAACTAGCGGCATTTTATTGAAGCTCTGGCGACCAATCCGCTTTGTATTACTACTATATTGCTTCAGCCCAAAATTCATTGTTGAGTTTGGCCTCCGACAGCATACTTCTTGCAGACTCTACAAGAGCGCGGTTGAGCCGTTCAGCAATACCATTTTCTTGGGGCGTATAAGGGACAGTTTTCTGATGTTTAATTCCGTTCGTCTTCAAGAGTCCTTTCAGTGCATTATTGACATATTCAGTTCCATTGTCGGTTCTTAGATTCTTGATTTTTCTTCCAGTTTCATTTTCAACTTGTGCCTTATATTCTTTGAATTTGTCGATTACTTCTGATTTTTGTCGGAGAAAATAAACCATAGTTTTTCTTGAAAAATCGTCAGTAAATGTCAAAAAATATTTAGCACCACCAATGGAATTTGTCTGCATGGGTCCGCAAACGTCGGAATAAACTATATCTAAAAGATTTTCAGACTTTTGGACTTCTGTTCTGATGAATGGTTCTCGGTGAAATTTGCCCTTGATACAAGCCTCGCACGGTATTTCTTTTTTGCCTGAGTAACTTAGTCCTGTCACCAACTTTTTCAAAGTCCGCATCGATTGTTCATTCAGGTGTCCTAGTCTTCGGTGCCACAGTTCATATGAGTCCTCTTGATATGCTACTTGAATTTGTTGATCTTTTGCTTGATCGAGAAAGTACATTCCGTACTACCTGTTGCAATAATATCTTTTGATGCCAGTGGAATTATCTTAGAAGTGATTCTACAGCTATTAATTCCATCAAAGATAACTGAACAGCCATTTTTGACAATCTTGCTAACAGACAACAAATTCATTTTCAGATCAGGAGCATGACTAACTTGTTTTATGTTGATGAAGTTATGATTATCTAATAAAACTTCTACGTCGCCGGTTCCTGTACAATGAAGCTTGCTACCATTTGCTATCGATAAATTTCTGGATTCATGATCTTGATATGATTTCAACCAACCAGAATATGCTGTGAAATGGGCACTAGCTCCAGAGTCAATTATCCAGTCTGTATTCATGAATTTTTCAGGCAACGTTTCACATGTGAATGCATAATAGGTATTTTCCTTTTTATCGGATTTCGAAACCTTCTTTGGATGTGGACAATTAGGGGATTTATGATTATACTCATTGCAGTTATAACATCTTGGACCTTTCTTGAATTTCTGCGATTTATTCTTCAATTTTTGGCTGAAGAAAGCTGATTCTGAAGATGATGCCACAGCTTTAACATTATCTTGAAGCAATAAATTTTTCACAAATTCAGTGGTTGTTATTTGTTTCGAACCTTGAATTCCAAGAAGTAACGGTTTGTATTCGTCCGGTAAACCACCCAGTATTATCCCTCCAATAACATTGTCCTTAAAAGGTTCACCTATGTTTTCCAATTGCTCAGCAATCTTCAATATACGGTCTATGTAATCCTGCATAGAAGTGCATTCTTCAAATCTTGTTTTGAAAAGACTTGAATACAGTCCAACTAGTCTAACAATACCAGAATCTTCATAAGTTTTTCTCAAATTTTCCCATGCTTCTTTCGCGGTTTTTGCCTTTTTAGTCTCCGCTGCAGCACATGGTTTCAAGGAAAGATTTATTTTTGCCAGAGTTCGTTGATCCAATTCTGTATCTACTGCTTCTCCAGTTTTTGGTTCGATACAGCACCATAATCCAGCATCGATGAGAAAATTCTTCATCCAGAATTTCCACTCATTATAATTGGATCCATTTAGGTGTTTCGATTCTGCTAACCCGCCAACTGAACTAGATATCACGGTAGATCTGATGCTAGCCTTGGAGTCGAGCTCTCTTCTCAGTTGAGCTATTTCTTCCAACATTTGGTCCATTGACATTTTTTTTTTTCGGTGACAGCAAAATTCAAATAAAAATCACTTGGATGTCAAAACTTGTGAATATTTTTCCAAATTCCAGAGAACTGAAGAATTGTTCTTTTTGGAAAATGATTATGTTTCTACTGCGTCCGAATCACTCTTCGCGATATCCTGGGCCCATAACCTGATAGCAGAGCTTGATTATTCACAGTATGAGGAACACAATCGACAGTATAAAAATATCTGATTTATTATTTTATATAACAAGTGAACAACTATCAATAATATATACTGGGAGTTATATAAAGGTATAAGAAAGTATCACAGGACTACTCTTCTAACAAAATCTCTATATCAAGACTCAAATATTTCTACACTCATACCTCTGAGTCATCAATTTGCCTTCAACATAGTGTAATATCGATCAACAGGTTTGTAATCAGCATCCACAGCATCAGTATCATCAGCATCGGCAGCATCAGCATCAGCAGCATTAGTATCATCAGCAGAAACAGCGTCATCAATCAGTCACTAGTTGAGTCAAATTGACGTTATGAGCTGAGGCTGATCTACTTGTCAAACTGTTCATATTTCTACGAGTTTTCTGTACCTAACAGCTGAAGAAACCTATCTGCTAATCTACCTAAAAGATGGGCGTAAAATGTTATTGTTTACTTCACAGCTGATTTTTGGCACTGACGTATTCCGAAGGTTTTTTCGCCCTTCTTCCACTCCATTGCATTTCTTTGTCATAGGTCAACACAATTTTTCGACTGCAGGTCATAAGTATGAGGTCTTTATGAGTTGGTTAGCTACTTCATTGACTTCCTTGAATTTGCTTTCTTTCCTTTGTCGTGATGTCAGTTGAGGAATTCTGTTACCCTTCCTGTAACAAGTCAATATCAGTCACTTGTCATAGTACAGTATATTGATATTTTATAGAAATTTTAATCTTAGTTATAAGTTTTTAATCTTAAATTTGAGCCTGTATTGGGTATGAGTGCATACCTACCTTTCATATTATGTTGATCTTTTGCCATTGCTGACTTGTCTAAACAAATTATGTGTATTGTTTTTTTTTTGCGGTGTACATGAATTTGTAACATAAAGACCAATAAATATCTCATCTTATCTTATCTTATGTATGGCAACTCATGAATCATCTTCAGAACATTCAATATTCTGTTACGACTCAAGATGTGGAAATGTTTTGGATACAGAGGTGTCGTTCATCAGCCGAAAGAAAAAAAATTCATCCAGCATCAACAAGGGTGACTCCATTTTTAATAACATATTTTTTCTACTCACATAACTAAAATGGCATTTAGCGTACGGATATGTACCACGCTAAATGATCGTTTAATCACGGATTGTCGATCTGTGATTTATTCAAAATATTGAACACGTTACCATGGCAACACGATTTCTTAAACACATTACCACGGCAACGCAGTTCATTAAACACAGCTTCAGTAATTTGATACATGTCTTTCCTATCAATTGTATTAACTGTCAACTGTTATTTTCGATTTTTTTATCAGAATGATTCAAACAATATTCGTTTGTATCAGAATTCTTCATTTAAAATATATGCAAAAAGTAGACGAAAGAAAAATCGCAGAGAATGTTCTGGTACTCGCATATCTCCAAGAAGTGTGAACATGAAGCATCCATCTTTGAGAACAATTTATTCATTCTGCGCAAAGCATGACAATATTGACAATAAACGTGAAACAAAGGTTAGTAAGCAATTGACTGGACACATCTACAACCAATATCACTTATACGTGTCTCGCTGGTTGCATGCAGTTGCATGTATTATGTTGTCAATTCCCATTCCTTTCGAATTATTTTGTAGGTTAGCAGGAATTGTAGGTATGTTAATGTAATTTTTGGGGTTCGTAGAAAAATCATAGTATGTAACGCGTTAATAAACTCTTCTAGACACTCGTTTATTAAACACTCGCTCCGCTCTGCTCCGCTCGTGCTTAAAATACTCGTTAATAAAAAGACGTTTATAACACTTATTACATAATATACTATAACGTTGTAGAGCTGATTTCAGACTTCGATTCACACACTGTACCCTTTAATCCTTTTCGTCTTTTCGAGAACTGTGGACTTCCACAATAATAGATTATGGGTAGGGTAGGTGTATTGGATTTACTTGAATACGAGGAGTTTTCATTGTGATGAATGTAAGAGTGTTGCATGCATTCTATTGTCTGTCCAACATACTGCCGAGTATGCGAGAACTTTTCTATGTGCACGTACCTTATGGCCACTTTCTCTTGAGTAAATAAAGCGAAGTTTCGATGTGTGTTTCCTGGATTATCTTACCTCACTATTTGCCGATTCAGTTTCGGAAAGAAATAAGAGTTTCGGAAGCAGTGCACTCTCGAGGTCTGGAGATTTATGGAATTTCCATCAACATCACTATCGAACCGATAAGAGCATAGGACTGCGAGGAGAAGGAAAATAGTTCCATATAGGTTTCGTATATTTTATACAGAATAGAAACGATTAACCTTAATAACCAATAATGTGGAATAATATTTTTTATGTCCGTGTTCATATTCAATTGATAATATGGACTGAGGATATTTCGTATTCTCGGAAAGGTAAGGTATCCATTCTTATTACTTGTGATCTTCTGATGCATATATTATGATACTCATATATGATTAAAATTGGGAATATTGTCTGTTCATTGAAAGAAAAAATTGAAGACATTCAGTAGCTCAGAGACATCTACGTGAACTCGTGAACTAAGTGAAATATTTCATGTTCCTCTCGAGTTTGTGAATAAAAATATGTCATGCTCATATTATATCCCGAGATTTGAACATATCACGAAAGATATTATCAGTTATGAAAAGCATACTTGTATGGAAGCAGGAAGTTGTTCAGGCAATGCTGTATCAGGTTGATTTATGATGCTACTTACTTGAATTTGAGTAGGAACTGCGGAAATCTCGGAAACTCATCAGTGATGTGATGGCGAGTTTTTCATTTGAAAAACGCATGACTACTCATGAGTGATAGGAACAAATTGATGTGAAAGAACCACATTAGGAAATATTATGTGAGAAATGTTCATGAATAATGTACCACAAAGGATGATGATGTTATGTTATGTAATGAAATGAAGAAGGTTAGACCCCTTCGTGTCATTCCATCAATGTCTTATGGATATTTCATTGTCGAATGATTGCAAAGTTCTATATAAACGATAGGTTGTGGTAGAGCGTTGTTCGACATATTTCAAGGTTGACAACGAGAAGATAACTATGCTGACTGGGCCTGTATATAGGTACAAACTTCAAGTTTTTCATATATATTTACCTTGAAAAAACAGTTTTCTTGAAATATTGGGAACATATAGTACAGTACTCGGCACAGTATTCTGTTCGCATACTTCGAAAATCCCCATTCCTAAAATATCAATGCAATGCAATGAATATTGCCTAAAGTGTGTATAATCTCTGCCTAAACTCATTGATGCCTCAGAATTTGAGGATCAAATTCACTTCACTAAGGGTTGGGGAAATCGTGTTTTGATGATTTTACACTTCCACCTCCTGGAAAGCAAAAGTGAACACAACAATTCTCAAATTACATTGCGAAATAATACAGTGCACTTATACAAACCATTATTTACGGGGCGTATTTCGCTGAGTGAAATTGTGTACACTAATTCCTCAATGCCAAAATAATGCCTCCTAATTCAATATATTGACTAGTATTACCTCGTAATTCCTCGTAATGCCTCACAATTCCTCACAATTCTTGTAATTCCTCACAATTCGTCGGCAATTCCTCGCAATTTCTCGAAATTCCTCTGATTTGTTCGTGATACATGTTGATATTTAAACAATAGAGATATTTTGTTTCAATATTCGTCACAAAATGGTCAATATTCACCATCTTCTCTCCCTTTTTTCCCTAAATACGCAAGATATTCTTAGAATATCATAGGGATTTCTTTTCGTGCGCTCCAAGAGATGAAAGAATAGCAGGTTGTTCATATTCTGAACTGAGCTTGAAATATACAGTGTATGTAAGGTGTTATATTCTAAAATATACATGTAGCACAGCATTTGGTATATAATGTGTATCTCGGTTTGTATACAGGGTGTTCCGGTGATCATGTCACAAACTTCTAGGGTAGATGAAACACACGAAAATAGGAAAAAAAGTTCATGTGAACATGGGTCCGGAAACGCTTCTTCAGGGAGCTAGGGCCCTTCGAAGATGACCTTCAAAAACTACTTTTCGTTTTATAGCTTCGGTACTACTGCAGGTGATTTTCCAAGGTTTAATATGCTTAATGAGTGTGACAGAGAAAGAAGTTTCAATATTGCACCGACACATTCCCATTGAGCATAAAATATGGAAATATCTTCGTAATCATTCGAAATAACCCTATGAAAGCCAGTATCTTTGAATTCCTTACGATGTTCCTTAAAACCGATTATGGTATAAAATATGCCAAAGCAAGTAGATATGTTAGATAATGTCAATGGAACTCAATGGAATTTCGTTCAACTACCTTCAATATACCGGTTCCTATACAAGCAGATCAAACAAAACGAAATACTGAATATCTCGTAAAATAATGATTTTTAGGAGATACCAAAATACACCTCGAAAATGATATACAAGGGGGTGCAATTCGTCATAAACCCCCACACCCCCAGATAATGTCGTTCGATTTTTCTTCAATATATCTTCCATCTTCGGTGAGAGTTCATCTTTATCAGCATGGAAGTTCAGTAAATCATCCCTTTCAATTCGAATGATCCAATTAATCCGAAAGGGAATATATTTTTTCTACCTCTGATGCTGTCTGGCTTCCTAGGCAGTTGCAGTTATTCCTCCAGATATTTCATTTGACGTATTATACACATGAATGACGTGGTGTTCTCTCCCTATAGCTTGAGTTGAGAGATTACTGAACTCACTGAAGATTTATGTTTTCGGTAAGACAGCACGCGAGATGTGAAGTAATCGAGGTATTCACGCATGCGCTATTTGTACTGAAATGCCAAACATTTCTCGCAAGTTCACACAATACCTCACAATTCCTCATAATTGCTCACAATTCCTCATTATTCCTTGTAATGCCTCTCAATGCTTCGCAATTCCTCTCAATTCCTCGGCAATTCCTCATAATTCCATATGAGTGTACACCAAAATTCCTCAGCGAAATGCCTCTCAATAAAATATAATAAAACAACCATTACTATGAGGCATAATGAAGCATAATTGGTTATTCTGAAAGAGTTGGATAGAAACATTCAATTTTGGCTCCAAATTGATATGAAATCAATTTTGAATGATGTTTTCAATGACAACTTCATGATTTTGTGTTCACCCAATGTCAGTATAAATGTTGCTTACCGATTTTATTCAAATTACTCAGAACGTTGCGAAGCAACAGAGTCTTCCTGCCTAGGCAGAGGAAATTTATACACCTCTCCTACCTGTTGAGTGTCAGAAAAAAAAACACTTTCCTTGCTGCTTGGAGGAACACTTCTCTTTCATCG